GACGGGCGCCAAGGAGGCGCCCGCCCGCCTGCGCAATTCAGCAGCTGCGACATGGCTGCTCACTGCACGGCTGCTTCCACCGACCCGACGCATGGCTCCCAGTGCGATACGACTGAGGGGCCCCCATTGACGCGACCAGGCTGGCGGGACAAGCTTCAAAGCCAGCCTTCACCTGCCCAGCACTGTTGACTGCACCCAACCGCGTCTTGGGTGGCTCCGCCTCACACCCTCAAAAACTTGGCCGCTGAGGCGTGGAGCCTGTGACTTTGGCCCAGCCCGGCACGCCCGGCTGCCTCAGGCAGCGCTCCCCTTTGACCCCCCTTGTGGCCGCCAGACACTGATGCCTGTAAACAGATTTCATCAAATTGGGTACTGAAGGTTGTGACGGCGTGCGGGGTGGGGTGCCAGGGCTCTTTTTACAGTGGTTTGTACAGAAGGGGGGGCGTCGCTACTCGAGTGGATCGACTCAAGCCCGGAGCTTGCGGCCCGGAACGGGCGCCTTGCAAGAGGGGGTTGGGGAGGGTGCGGCAGGGGAACGGGATCACCCGCAGCGTAGGGCACATGCAGAAGGGCGGTCCATTAAGATATGCTTCGCGAGGAGGGCGTCGCACACACCCATGGAAGCCGCACGCCCGGGCGACACAGCCAAGAGCAAGGGGCGCGGGGTTCGATTCGCTTTGGCGACCGTGGCCTGGCAAGCCGCCCGCACAATGCCAGACGGTGGCGGCGTGGCCTAAGCATGCAGTCGCCAGATGTTGAGCCAGATATAGACACAATACGATCACGACAGCGACTCTGAAAGGTGGTGGATTAAGGCCAGGGCCCCATCCAGGCCCCCCGCCTCCTCAAATTCTTGGAAGCTCACACTCCAGCCCCCTCCAGCGCCGCCCCCACCCCCTGCCCCCTCGCTCTCGCCCGCGCCACCAGAAGCACCCGCGGCGCCGCTCGCGAGCGGCGCGGCCGGCGCGGCGCCGCAGCGGCCGCTGGACGCGGCGCCCGGCTTTACCGAGAGCCTCAAGACGTCCAGGCGGCGCGCGCCTGGGCGGCCGCCCTCGTGGGCGGCGGAGAGCAGATCGAGGTAGGACACCCTGCGATCAGGCGGCCGGCCCGAGGTTGGGCGAGGGGGCGCGGGCGGCGGCGGCGGTGGGGTCGTCGGCGGGGGCGGGGGCGCACACGTGGCGGGTGAGACGGGACGGAACGGGGCGCCGCGGCAGGGGTTGGGTGGCGCGAGGGCATGAGGCCGGGAGGTGCGTGCTGGGGGCCCCGCTTATTGTCCCTGTGCAGGCACGCAATTCAGCCTCTCAGACATGAGAGGGACGATCGCATTCAGCCGATCCGAGGATCAAAGGGGCGTGTGCTCACTTGAACAGCAGCGGCTTGTCTCCGGCGCCCGTGGTGCTAAACGCCTCGGTCGCCTCGAAGCACGCGGCGTGCTGGCTGATGTGAAGCTTGCCGGCCAGCGTCATCTGTTGGCATCATCACCAGAAAGTCGTGTCACCGAGGGGTTGGTCGCAGGCGTCGCCGGGTGTGGAGCTAATGACGCCAGCGTGGGTTGGGGTGGTGGTGAGGCAATGCCGCCACACAGGGAGGTTTGGAGAGCCCAGGGCACGCCTGCTCTGCTTTGTTTCCCAGATGCCGACATGCGTGCCCAGTCTCAGACATGCAGCCGCTTTCGCTTTCACACGCACACACGTGCGCACACACACACACACACACACACACACACACGAAAACACACACACACACACACATACAAAGAGTGCCGTCCGCCCACACCTGCATGGGTGGGGTGAGGCCGTTGCTGACTGGGGCGTAGGTCTGCAGCAGCTTGCACGTGTACGACTCAACCAACACGTCATCCCCCGCCAGCTGGAAGCTGGCACGAAGCTGCTCGCCGATGTTGCGAGGCGGGCGCGACTGCAGGGGTGCGTGCGGAGCGCGGCGGCCGTGTATTGGTGGGCGAGGGATAGGCCAGGCGTGTGATCGAGCGGCGGCCGCCGTGCTTGCAAGGCTGGTGCCGCCACGGTGCGTGTGTGGCGGCTGCAGCGGGCACCCGAGCCCGAGCACGGCACAGTGACCACGGCAACAAAGCACGGGTGCCGCGACTCACTGCGTCCAGGCCTGCCGCCGCGGCGGGCGTCGTCGCCTGGCCGTCTTCCGCGGTCATGTTCTTATCTATATTGGCCCACCAGCTGCTGATGCTGGTGCCAATTGCGCCGAGCGCGCCCGCCGCGGCCTCCGGCGCTGGCGCAGCCGCGGTCGCGGGCGGCTTGGGTGCGGCGGCGGCGACGGCGGTGGCGGCGGCTGCGCCCAGGACGGATTGGAGGCCGATGGCGAGGCGGCTGGCGGCCTGTTTGACCTCTAAGGCGACCTGGGGGGTTGTGTTTGCAGGGCAGCGAGGCAGCCTCAAACCTGGGCTCTGAACCCAGCTGGGTTCAGTTCAGCTTGGCCGGCCAGGGGCACCCGCCCCCGCTGCCGTATTACGTGAGCGCGCCACCTCAGCGCGTCCTGGGCGCTGCGCTTGCGACCGCGCGGCGGAAGCGCACGCCCCGCGCCGCTGCTGTGAGGCCTCGGGGTCTCACCAGAGCCGCTTTCTCCTCTATCTGCGCGAACTCGGAGGCGCCGCCGGTCGCGCCGGACGCCGCCTCGGAGGAGGCAGGGGGTGCGGCGGCGGGGGTCGAGGGGGACGGAGCCGCGTTGGGCGCGGGCTGCTGGCTGGCTGGCTGCGTGGCCGGCTGCTCCGGCTGGGCGGCGGCGCCGGATGGTGGCCCCGCTTGCTGTGCGTCCTTATCTGCCTTGTGCTGCTGCTGCTGCTGCTGCTGCTGCTGCTGCTGCTGCTGCTGCTGCTGCTGCTGCTGCTGCTGAGGCTGCTGCTGCTGCTGCTGCTGCAGAACGGCGACCTGCGCTGGCGATGGCGCCCCGCCGCCGCCAACCGCTGCTGATGTGGCCTGCTGTTGCTCCGTATCGTCGTCCTCGTCGTCGGTCACCTCGACCTCGACCTCTTCGTACTCATCGGCAGAGCCCAAGTCTGCAGGCGCTGCATGAGCGTCTGCCATCGCGCAGCGCTACCGCACGCGCAGGTCGAGGTGCGCACACCTGGTCGGCGCTGGGTCAGAGGCGTTGAGAGCGTGCGACACGGTGTTCAGGTACAATCTGCTTATGATGCAACAGCACTTGCGAGGAACAGAGGACACCAGACGACCGTATTACAGCGTTGAACCGCTTGGAACACGTATAGTAGCTGTACGGCACCGGGGTTTAGCTATGAGGGAACCGTTGCAGGACCAAGGGTAAGAATGCTCGTTGGTTGTTGAGGATGGCTGGTGCGGACCGAAAGTCACCCGGGCAAGTGTGTCGTACCCAACGGTAGTACAGTACCCAAGCACGTGCAGGCACCACCGTGCACACAAGAAGAGGCCAGTGCCAATGCGTGCGGCGTGCCGAGAAAAGGATCAGCGGCAAAGTGACGAACCCTGTTGACTGCTGGAAGTGGTCGACCAACATCCTGCGCACTCCTGTTGCTGCCAGCTGGGGGTGGGGTGTCCCAGGCTGGCGTCTGATGTGACACAGTTGTTGCATGGTTATGCCTGGCGTAACAAGACCCTGTTTGCGCCGGCAGGGCAGTGGGGACAGCAGGTGCTGCTCAGCTGCACCCTGACTCTTGTGATCTGTAGAGCCGTAAAGCGACCACAGACAGGCGGTGAGCAGGCACTCCATGCGGCTTGACAGTAGCCAGAGCGCACTGCAAGACTTTTGTGGATGCTGCTGCATTGCAGGCCTGCTGGGCTTTTGGGTGTTACATGCCAAGACAGCGACACGCGAGACCGGTCGCGCTTGCGGCGACCATGGTTCCAGACAGGAGACCGCAGGGCCTCTCTGAACGGCGCCGCGCTGTGCTTCGGCATACGCAGCGTGCGCGCCCGTGCGCTGGCGTCCAGGCAACAATCACAAGGATGAATTAGAGCGAAAAACGGATCAAGGGCGCCCAAGGAGTATGAGGCGTCCGAGTCACTGCCTGAAATCAATACGCAGATGGCTGCCCCCGTACTTTCCACCCGTCGCTGGGCGGCTGTGCTGCTGCAAATGTGTGCACGTGAGGCGAAAGCAGCGTGCGTTGCAATGTAGCGGCATGATCACTCAGCGCGTGGCGGCATGCTGCTGCGCGCCTTGATTGCAGCAGCAATGCGTTATGGGCGTGCTGAAAAAAGTGAAGTGCACTTTGTCCCTCCCCCCAAAAAACCCCGGAAGAGGTGACAAGAATGTAGCAAGCGGAAGCTTCTCAAAAGGAGCAGCCAAGGTGGTGGCACCAAACAAGGCGGCGGCGACCGCAAGACAAGGCAGGTGATGAGCGAACGGCAGAGGGCCGTCGGCGCCGTCACAGTCGCGGCGCGGGGCCGCCACGCCCCGCAAATCGAGCGGAAAGGCTTGGAGGTGCCCCGGCGGGTCAGGGCTCGTCTGCCTTGTCCTTGTAGCGCTCGTCTATGAAGCGCACGAGGGCGTGGCAGTCCTCAAAGGTTGAGAACCAGCCCAGGCTGGCGCGCACGCTGCCTAGGGGCACGTCCACCCTGCGTGAGTGGGGGCGCGGCAAGGGGGGGGGGGGACGGTGGAGGCATAGCGGGGATGAGGATGGAGGAGGCGCGACGCGAGCGAAGACGACACGCCCCCGCAGCAGCCGCCCAGCAGCCATCTCAAGATCATCTCCCCATCCTCCCATCCAAGCCTCGTCCCCATCAGAGACTGACAGCAAATGTCCCCGAGCACCGCCATGCAGCGGGCAGGCCCGCGAAACAGCCGCGCACTCCGCTCCACTC